AGATTCTAATGAACAAGTAACCTGAAAACTACAATGCTGTCTATTTAAAGAGAGCTAATTACATAACACCGTGACTGTCACCCACAAGACAACTTTGTTTGGGTAGGAATGCAAAAACTGAATCCATCTGGAGTGAGATGAGTACAGTGAGGCCATGTAACACAGGTCTGGTTATACAATAACATGGCCCTTCCAATCATAAGAATCCCCAAATGCTAAGTTCTAATTTAAAGTACAGCAATACACTCCAAAAACTACTCTTTACATGACTCATGTGCTCTCTGGAATTTATGCCGATCACAAAGAGAATGCTTGTTTAAGTTTAGGCATCTGTTTCATCAGTGCTCACTGCCTCAGAAGCATAGTCAAGAGTTATTGCAGTTTCCATGGAGACTAAAGCAGAAGAGTTCTTACTATTTCTGTCTGTGAAAATCCCATCACATTCCAGCTGCCAAGCTTTTTATGAGAGCATGAAGGACAAAAAGTGGCACTAGTATCCACATTCCTGTCTATCACATGCCAGTAGTTATTTTAGAAGCATATTTACCTTTGCACATGAGAAGGAAATCTTATTCTTCCATGTGCCTGATTAACGGGATGCAAATTGTTTAACAACTTCCAACCAGATTTCCAACATATTATTTCAAGTCCTTATATTCTTATTTTTTTTACAAGAGAGCCCTGATTTCATATATCCAACGCACTTGCAGTTCACAAGGAGGCTCTTGCCACTGTAAAATCCTAACAGAAAAAGTGATGCAGTGCAGATCAGATAAGTGGACAGAGAGGTGGACTGAAAACTGGCCCAGCTGCTCAACATGCAGGGTTCTGATCAGCAGCACAAACTCCACCTGGAGGCCACTCACTAGCATCCAACCACAGGGCTTCACACACTGGGACCATCTTCCTTAAAGAAGCATGGCACAGACAACATCCTCACCAAGTCTACATGCAGTGCCATTCAAAGGGACCGGAGCAGGCCAGTAAAATGGGCTGACAACAAACTCAGGAAGTTCAACAGCAGGAAATGCAAAATCCTGCATGTGGGGAAGAATCAACTCATGTGCCAGGATGGGCTGGGGGATGACCACTGGGAAAGCAGCTTGGTGAGAAGGACATGTTGTCCTGGGTCAAAGACCAGTGACACCTGGGACTGCAGTGGATTGCTAGCTGTCCCAAGTTGATGCTTCATTACCTCTCTTTAGCAGTAGTGAGATTACACCTGCAGTCCTGGCTCCAGTTGGGCTCCCCATTGTAAGAAAGACATGAGTATACTAGAGTGAGTCTACTGATGGACCACAAATACGATACTGGGAATGGAGCATCCGACAGAAGAGAAGAAACCAGGAAAACTGGAAATATTTAGTTTTGATAAGAGAAGGCTGCTCTCAATATACATAAATATCTCATAAGCAACAGTAAAGAAGACACAGACTCTTACCAGCTGGGTCCCAAGTAAGGATGAAGGGCAATGGATACAAACTGAAATAGAACAAATGACACTTAAACATCAGAAAACCATTTTTCTGTCATGGTTGTCATCTACAGTTTTTCCAAGTAGACTGTTGAGTGTCCAGCCTTAGAGATAATTAAAGTCTGACTGGACGTGGCCCTGAGGAACTTGTTCTGTTTGGATAGTACTGTCCTTTGAACAGAAGGTTTGGCACAGATGATATTAAGAGATGCCCTCCATACTCAAGCATTTTATGACTGAATAAGTACAAAGTGCAGAAGGAGGAAAAGTATGCATGTGTACTTCTACCTTAGAAATTATAGCCACAATAGAGTTCAGCTTCTAAGAATTTCAAAAAGACTAAGCAAAGGCATCTGGTGCACCTTATCAGTTATATAGGGCTCCACTAAGTGTCTGGAATTAACGAAGACAGCTAGAACTGAGGTCAGGCTTCTCTGTACATGTAGATTTCCCCAGATGCAAGCAGCTCCAAAACAGATTACAGGATGCTAGAAACTGCAGAAAGGACAGCATTGCTGTGCTGTTCTGAACACATCCAGTCAAACTGTGACTGTTTCAGGGTGGGTCAGCAGTCCTGATGGCAACCTCAGCATATTCCACAAAAGTACAGCAGATGAATTTTTTTAGACTTTCCTATCAGGAGTGGGGAAAAAATCTTCATTCAGGATCTTTCAGGGAAAGACTTTGAATTATACTGACTGAGGCACTGCATATAAAGCATTTAATAAGAAGTCTTTAAGAAAAACATCTCAAATTTTGCTTTTTTTTTTAAGAAACTCAATCATCTGTGTATTTAAGAAACAACATGAAGCAGCTGGCCTGTTTGAGATTTTGCTCCAAGGAATAACAACAAAGAAATATGGAAACCATTCAGCCAGCTACAAAACACAAAAGCAAAATAAAGAGCATGTTGACCAAAGTTCTGATCACGATAAGATACCAACAGAAACAAGTCCCAGGGGCTTGAGAGATTTCAATCCAGAGTTATTCACTGTTCAGGAGAGCAAACAACCTTACCAGTTGACCCAAATGAACCTTAAAATTTCTGCACTAGAAAGCTGCTTGACGGAATCTACTTACGTAAGTGATGTGGGTATTACAGGTCACAGCTACCCACGTGATATCAGTTTAAACCATCACTGTACCTGGCAACACTACTAGTTGAGCTTTTAATCTGCAAAAATTCAACCAAGAAAATATGAGAACAATCCACACTACTATGGAGGTACATTATTTGAAAAAATACTAACCATGTAAAGATCTTCAAAGATTTTGTTACAGAAAGTTTTTCATTAATTTGTTAGAAGTGCTTTCAAACAGCATGCCATGTGATATCATTTTTTTCTTAATTTTATGTTAGTGCTGATCAGTCTGCCATCTGGAGTCTAAACAACATTAAAACTTCAACTCTTTGAACACATTACAGTAGCTTTTATTCTCCCTCCTCACACAACAGCTATGAGGCTGCTTGCTCCTCTATACTCAGAGAAAATTTCTAGCTCCAAAGCTACAGTAGGTGCTACAGTGTAGTAATGAAGAACAGAAAGTGGAACAAAAAAATCCAAAAAACAGTGCAACGTGGACATGAACAGACGAATCACTTTCAACACAGCACGGTATAGCTGAACAGAGATGTAAAGGAATTAGAGAAAAAAAAACCAACCAGTACATTAATAGAGCATAAGTAATAGTCAAGGTCATGAGTCACATATTTACTAGAAGACAAGAGGCAGGGATTTTTGTATGTACATGGCAACTCTGTTTTTAAAGAGAGTATAAAGAATGGAAGTTGAATGGAAGTTGAATGCTTGAAGAGCCTGAGTAAGGGGAAGATATACTGATGGATCACAGCAATAACAAAAGAGTGCTAGAATAAAACTCAGTACAAAAAAAGAGTGTTAGAAACAGGGAGTTAATGTTGGGTTTCATATCAAGACATCAGATGGTAGGGAGAAGTCAAGAGGGGAGCATGGTGGTTACACAAACCCAGGCATCAATGGATACTGTATCCACATGTACTTAAGCCAAAAAAATATCAGAATGAACAGAGAAAAGACTGGATTTCAGTTGTACTATACATAAACACCAGTATTTAGACAATATCAGCCAACATAAGATCAAGGATGACTTCAGGGAAATAAGCCTCAATCTAAGAGGTGACTGGCACAATACAGATCCAGCACTGGCATGTGCAATTCCACCAAGACAAAGTACAGAGAGCTGTGTCTTTGAAGAGCAGTACGGTACATAGGCAGACCAGTGAGTAAGGTGTATCCCTGTCCATAAAAGGTGTTTGTTAATACACAACAACACACACAGTGCAGGAATTTAGGCCACAAGAATAGGTCATTTCTGGCACAAAGGCCTGCACAGCTGTATGCAGCTGTGTGAGTTGAGGATCCCATTTCATTACACATATAATGAAGGCACGTGTGCCAACATGAGAGTTCACAGTGTACATATAGCCAAAGCAAACAAGTAAAAGGAGAAGAGAAGCCAGATAACAAAAAGCACAAACAAGATGAGACTGGACAGCAATGCAGATGAAGGGAAGTCAGATATGTTTACAGAATGACTATGCATAAGGCAAAGAGTTGTCATAAACAAATACTGTCTAAAATCCCATTTGCTAGTCCTGCTCCAATGTTTGGTTTCTAAATTAGAAAGAAAAAAAGCATAAATTTAAATTCCAAAGATTAATAAAGAAAAGATATGTAGCTGGTGAAAGTTCCGGAATGGTAAGAACTTGGTCTCTGTCAAATGGTATTCCAGTGAAAATACATCATGTTTTTGTATTTGTAGAATAATGTGATAGGGTACTGAACTTACAGTCACTCCTGTTAACATACTGCACCTCTCGAGTGACCAAGAGGATGAGTTAAATGTAATAGTAGAGAGTCCAGTTGGCTATTTCATGCACACTAAGATGCGTAACAATTTCCAACGACGTCTTCTTGAAATTCCAAATGCATTAATTTATTTTGCATTCCTTAATGCCTATGCTATACAAAATATCCAAAAGTACAAATATTTCAGCTACAAGTGACAGCAATAATCAGTAACATACAATAAATAAAATTGCTTGATCTGTATAGAGTTGCATGCCACTATGCCAAGCAAGGAGAGCTGTTGAAAGAACAGTATATGAAGTCTGAATTCCATGTCATTATTTTGAAAAGGCCTTCTCAAGCCTCCTTCTTAACAGATTCTAAAAAGGATGTTTTCAGACAGCACACCTTGTTACAACAAAATATAATAAAATTTTAAATAATTTAGCACAGCAAACTGAGAACTCATTAAGAAACAAAATTACTAAAACAGTGCAAATAAAATGAAAACTGCAGATAAAATGAAACCAGGAGAGTGAGGTGACACAAACAAACAAAACAAAATAACATGCATTTTCTTAATGGAAAACTAACTGAAAGAATGGTGTAAAGAAAAATACTTGTTTGAAAAGGTGTATTGATAAGGATGGTATCTGCAATACATAAGGAAGCATTATTTTAGTTCAAAACATGATTACCTGCTGACTTCAGAACTCAAGTAGCACAGAAGATGAATGGCCCAAAGCAAAGGTCCTGCATATGTTGCAAATGCTGTAAGGAAGATTGCTGGTATCTCCACGTAGCTTTCTAGTCCCACAAACCCTGCTGAAACATCCACAGTAGCAATGCCATTTGAATTTCCCTGAAAACAGGAATAAAATCAAAAGATTCCATTATCTCCAAAGAAACATCTAGGATACATTCAATTAAAAAAGAATTAATTATTACATCAACTATTTGTACCAATTATTGCATCAACACATCGAGCCACTTTACAGTACAGTCATATTATTTACAGTCTTTACACTGGATTTTCAATACAGAACCTTACCAAACAACAGCTTCAGTTTAAGATTCAACGATTACTTCAGGCATGAACAACATCTTCTGCTTGTCTTTTTTTTGGCTGCAAATACATATGCCTGATGTTTAATAAATTATGTCATGAAAATATATTAAAACAAACAGCTACATTATCTGATTTCAGTCATACTGATGACAATATACATTTTTTACCACTCATGGCTCAAAACCAAGATTTTAGGTTTGTGGCTTAAAATTACACCAGGATATAAATATTTTTTGCTCCTGGAGACAGCAGGGCTCCTGTTTGGAGCCTGTAGTAGAACAGAAACCTCCCCTTCAGCCACAACATAAGTTGCATGTAACTGAATTAAGACTCACAAAAGCAGAGATGTTTCTGATTCCCGACTCTCTGCACCACAACAGCTGGTACTGAAATGGACAAACTGCCTAGACAGCTTAAATCATCAGTAAAAGGCATTTTTAAGAAACATAAAAAAACATACAACATTCACTGTGTAGCTCATCCCAGCATCTATGAATTTGTTTGAAGTGATGTAGTACCAGGAGAGTACTGGGAGAAACAGGTAACACCTCATACAACAGCTGAGGTTACAAAGGGTCTCTGGAGGCCATGTACTCCAACCAGACTGCTTCCACAGGGCCACTCAGAGGCCTCACTCAACCCCACATCCATGTAACTTCTGAAGATCTCTGAGAGTTTCCACAACCTCTCTGGGCAACCTGTGCTTGTATGCCATCATCTGCACATTAAATAAATGCTTCCCGATACACAGAGAGAACCTTCTGTGTGCAACTTTGTGCTTGTTGCCTCCTGTTCACTGAAAAAAGCCAGGCTCTTTTCTCTTTCCACCTTCTTCAGGTATTTCTAAATATTGATGAGATGCCTCCGAGCTCTCTCCCACACTCAACAGCTCCAGCTCTCAGTCCCTGCTATATGTGAGATGCTCCAGTCTCTCAGTCACCTTGGTGGTCCTTAGTTAGGACTATCTTCATTAGCTCCACATCTCTTTTGTACTGAGGAGATCAGAGCTAAACACAGTTGTCCAGATATGGCCTCACCGATGCTGAATAGACATGAAGCATCCCCTCCTTTGATGAGATGGCAATATTTTGGCTAATGTAGCATAGGACAGCATTACCTTCCTTAGCAACACTGATGGTTTATGTACAAGTAGGTGCTCATCAGGACCTCAAGGTCCTCTTCTGCAAAGCTGCTTCCCGTCTGGCTGGCACCCAGCACGTACTGGTGGTGGACTTCACCTTGTTAATCTTCATAACTTTCAGGAATCCACAGAGTCTCATGGGTGGCTCGTCAGCTAGTATTGGAAGAGCTCTGCTGAAACATTTGTTCCTTGTGGCAGATACCTTTCTCCAAGACTAGCTCATATATCTGAATTGCGTTTCTGTAGCTTACAACTTCTAACACTCAGATGACACATAAATAACTGACAATTTAGAGAATCTCTATTTAAAGTACCACTGAAATATTTCAAACAGTAATAAAAAAAAAAAAACAATAAAAAAATAAAAAACAGACAATAAGCAATAGCTTATTGTCGTAATGGCAGAAAGTGACAGGAAACAATTCAATTTTGCATAAAAGCATTCCATGGCAGTTCCTAATGATCCAGATCAATGAAGAACAGATATAAAAACACTAGCTTGGGAAAACTAACCAGGGTATCTGCTGCATAACAGTGAAGAAGGTCTCCATAGACAGTAATGGAAGTAATCAAAAACTCTCCTCAAAGCTGCAATGATTTTTCTGAAAAAATTTCAGTTATATCATTCATCATATAGAAGTGATTAACAACAGTATCTCAAATGACTCTCACTGAACTGAAAAGTACAGAGGTGAAATACAAAATTGGCATGCTCCTGGCTTGCTTAAACACTGAACTGATACATTACATTGCTGTATTTCCACTGAGCCCTTCCAGTAATTTTATAGTAACTGGAATTCTGTACATAAACAAAATGAGAGAACTTTAATTACCTGAATCAAATAATTTAAGGTGAAAAAATGAGGTAACTGGAGAAGGTTGCCCAGAAAGGTTCTGCAGCCTTTATCTTCAGAAGTTTCAAAATGCGTTCAGACAAAACACTGAGCAACCTTTTCTGACCTCACAGCTGCCCCTGCTCTGAGGATAGAGTTTGACAAGCCAATTCAAAGTCCCTTAGTCCATCTTTCTACCAAAAGGTAATATCAACTACATACAAACTATTGTGAAAACATACAAGCCTATGCTGTTCTCCTCCAGAAATAAAAAATGAGTATAAACAAGTCTTAGAAGTTTTGAGACTGTACTTCCTTTCCCTTCTCCTACAGATACATTTGCTTTAAGGACGCAAAAAAAAACAAAAATAAAACCAGTAAAGAAACACACCATTTTCTTTTCTTCATTTATGAGCTCCTGTCCAACGCAACTAAAATAGCTTAAGAAATACTTATAGCAACATATATACTTTTTAAGAGCTGCTACAGCTAAGGAAGATTAACGTAATTATTTATATTGTCACCACATGTTGAAAAACAAGTAGCAACAACAAAGACATATAATACTTCTGGGAAATAAGTGATGAGTTAAAAGATATGGACAATTCAGGGCTTAAAACTAAGCAATCAAATCTATTGTTCGAACCTGTGGACAAATTCATCACGAGGTTCAGAAACTTGCAGTAGTATGACACAGGCAAATAAGTATGGCGCTGACAATATACATCAGTTCCACATCTGTCAATACTGAATTCTTTTTAACTTCGGGTTTTTTTTCATTGAGTTACACAAAGTAATGAATAAAGCAATTATCCTAACTACTAAAACAAGACTGAAAGACGAGGTTACGTCTTAGCCAATTTCACACAAATAGAACAGTATCAACAGAACGAAAGATAACCCAGTTTGGAAGGGAACTCGGAAGTCTTCAAGTACTACCTTCTGCTGAAAGCAAGTTCAGACACAAAGGACTTCACAGGTTGCTCACGACATTATACAGCCAGAATGGGAAAGTCTGTAAAACCCGTGTAAGCAACCTCTGCCCATATTTAGCAGTCATAAAAATCTTTAGTAAAGGACAACAAAAAGAAGTTAAAAGAAATTTGTGAGTCACATAAGTAGTTTAATAAATTAGCCTTTTTAGGTTCCAATTGTCAGAGAGCTGCAAGGGCCAGCTGCTCTGCAAAAGAATGTAAGCTGGGAAACGAGCATGAATACCGGGCTGATGGCAGTGATGGATTCATCAACAAGGAATTGAGAGGCCAAGCACCACGTGTGGATCAGAACTGCATCTGGAGACAGCAATCAGAGTCAGATGCACTCCAGTGATCACTTAGTAAAATCCACAGTGATGAGGCAGGTGCAAGTGAAGGTTAAGAAAAGCAACCAGCAGGTGGTTCGGGTCCAGATCAGGACTGAGATGGTCTGAGATGGGACACGTCACAGGAGCCAGCAGTAAAGTATCAGATTAAAAACAGCTCCCAGAACAAAGGGCAAAGCCACTGCTTCTGCTTTTTTTCACAACAGTTCCTCTTGGTGTAGGAGATGACTTTGAAATCCACTAAAGAATTCCTAGATGACGGATGCATTTAGGGCCCCACCACAAATAACACGTAGAAAACAAACACAATTACAAAATCTAAGCATATGCATTCCATACTTTTTTTTTAAACCTCTACTCAAAATTAAAATATTAGCTTACACAAACGACAACTTTATCTTCTCCCCCCATTCTTGAAATGACTGATTAATAACAGTAATAAAAAAATATCTATTCCTACCAAACTTGCCTTTGTGCACACCTAGGATTTTTAATGCTATTGCTTCATAAAGACTTCAAGGATCCTATAATACATTTCAAAAGAATCCTGCCTCATTCGCTAAATACGCAGCCCTGAATAAAGCTATTTTTACTCACTATGCTATTCAAAAGGCCATCACTTACATTCCACACATAGTGAGAATAAGTTCCCGCTTTTGTCATTACATATCATTTAAACGAGATTTAATAAAAACTCAGAAACATAGGGAAGAAATCTCATTCTTGTCATAGTCATACTAGTACATATGAAAAAAGTAGCTTTCCAAATCTCTCTCCTATTGCCAGATGGAAGAATTTTATACTTACTTTATACTTCTCTTCTCCTGCCTCATTTAGCTAGCACAGTTTAAATTTATTATACAATCTGATATACATGAAAAAAAATGTTAAAGTGTTTATAAATTTCTATATGTCAAACACAGATGCATGAATATTTTGATATGCTACATAAGAAATTAATGCTGGCCTGAAAATAAAACATCCAGTGTGCACGGAATGCAGCCAGTTCAATAGTGGTAGTCCATGTAGCCACAACATTTGAGGGAAGAAAGCCAGAAAAGACACTGACATCTGTGCCAGCAATGGACCTCGTGCCCACACAATAAAGATCTGCTTCCCTTCCATCTCTCTCCCACTCTACAGCCATGGCTATTGATCAGACCAGAGGTGGTAAACGAATGATTAGCTGTACCAAGGCAGGCTGGTCACAGGTCAATACGGAAGCTGACAATTTGATAGGCTTGTCTTGCAGAAACAGCCCAGCGGTATTTCCTCAATGCTCGTCTTCTTTTTGAGAATAATTCTTCTTCTGGAATACAAGCCTTTTCTGAATCGGTCATAATCTAAGACCTCACTATTGATGGTCATCACCATGACACACAGTTACTAATTCTAGGACACCTGCAGTTCGTTCCACAAGAACAGCGTATCTTCACTGGAAACGTAGAAAGGAGGGGATCAAGAAGATGTCAGCAAGCAACGCTCTTCCCCTGCACAG